GGGGGAGGCGCCCCCCCCACCCCATTCAATCAATCAATCAATCAATCAATCAATCAATCAATCAATCAATCAATCAATCAAAAAAGAAAAGAAAAAAAAAACATCGCGCGTTTGTGTGTGTGTGTGTGTGTGTGTGGGTGTGGGTGTGTGTGTTCGTGGGAGGGGCCCCCCCTCCTCACGTTTGATCAATCAATCAATCAATCAATCAATCAATCAATCAATCAATCAATAAATAAATAAATAAAAAAAGAGAAAACTACGGCCCACTTCCTGCCTCCCCAACTCCCTCCTCCGATCCCGACTCCCCCACCTCCCTCCCCAACTTCTTCCTGTCTCCCCGATCCCGATCCCGCTTCCCCCACCGTCTCTATTTAGAACACCGCTCCTCGATCCAAATTTTTTAGCAGTGGTCGGATCGTGGGGCGAAGTGGAGGAGAGTGTTGAATCAAGATCTAACAATCCAGATTACATTGAGCATTCGGAAGAAGATCGTGCGGCGGTAGACGAGGAGCCTTTCCCTCGGACGACATTTGATGGTTCTACACGGGATCCTGAGCCGCCTAAAGAGGAAGAAGAGCACGATGGTGGCGCCAAAGGGACAAAATGCAGCAGAAGGCGAGCCCGAAGTCCCTCTCCCACTCCCTCCGCCCACGCTGCAGTTCGCCTACGTCGAAATGTTGGCGATCGGGCGACGTGCCCGATCATTATCCCGCCGTCCCCTTGACTACCTCACCCTCCGCCGAATCGAAGACCACCCACCATTTCCTAATACTTGGCACCCTTTCCCCCCCTCCTTGTTCCATCAGTACTACGCTACCTGCCTTGTCTGTGACGTTCTCCCCGACCCCATTACACAGTCCCTCGTCCCCTTCTTCCGCCTTGACATTCTCCTCTTCAGCGTGGCATGGTGAGACTTCAATTATATTGAAGTATAATGCCTGATTACAGGGACAATCCCCGCCTGCAATCACCATGAGCAGTTTCTCGCGGCCCTCTTGCCCACTCTTTGTACCCTCTACCCCAACTACCTCGCCTCCCTTCCCAATCGCAATCGTCGCTTCCCTCACATCCATCGATTGGACCAGGTGCGATATGCGAATATCCCCAACGAGGTGCGATCGCTGGCCCGCTTCCTCCCTCCGCTTCCCCAATCCCATCCTTCGCCCCCACCCCTTGTACTGAGAGTGCGAGCTCAGCCAAGACAACAACAACAATGACGAAGATAGCAGCAACTGCGGGCACAAGGGAACGAAGGAGATCGGTCACCATGAGAACGCGAGGCCACTTGGAAATCAACAAGCCGCGTATCGACGTCTCGAACATCTTCTTCTTCTTCATCTTCTCCTCCTAGTCTCTCTTTTCCTTCTCTCGCATACGTGGACATGCAGCATGCGATCAGGAGCTTGCATAAGATTGGAACCCCCTGGGTGTCACATATGTGACGAACTACTTTCTGTTTGTGCGACTTTCTGCGCGATTGCATTTTGGGGGCTGGGGGGAGGGGCATGATCCAATTACACAAGTACCCCTGATTCTTTCCTCTTTGTCCTTGTTCTGTGAAAAATTGGTCCCATGCTGGTTGGTAGTTAGGACGTGCCTTAGCGAGCGTAAAAATAATTATTAACGCGACCTCTTTCTTTTTCTGTTGAGAATGTGGAACCAGGGGAAGGAAACTTCGACGCGGTTATCACACGGGAAAATCTTTTTAATTTTTGAAATGATGGGGAAAATACGAGAGCATTAGGAATCAGGACTTTAATTAGATAGGATTTTGGGTCGTCGTATTTTCTTTGTGGTAATTGCACGATGCTCCTTACTCGCGCGCGCTCTGCTACGTTGCGTCCCTCACTCTGCTCCCGCTGTGCCTTAGTTCTAATCTCAATTGTAATCTCTTCTTATTCCTCTCTCTATGAGTGCAAGCGTAACTGTAATTTTCTCGCCCTTGGTTTCTCATCGCACCGAAAGGTGCAACCCCTCTCCCTCCATCTCGTTCGCCACAACAGTGCATAACTGGATCGAGGCGTGGAGACACTGGAGAGTGGTTACGTCCCCCACACAGCGGCTCTGACATGCTGACCGCAGGCACTTCCTTCTCTCTTTTTTGCCCCCACCTCAGCATAATCCCGACTATCTCGCGCTGATGCTAATAGCTATAAATTTTGCAAGCGCGACAAAATCGCTCTCTAATCAAATTTGGGAAGGTTAACACGGTCAAGAGGATCGACTAACGAGTAGGAGCCGATGAAGAGGTGAGTTCGGAGTTGGGCGATCCGACAGGCTGGGTGCGAGTGTGGGGGGTTGACGTGCAACCACCACGGATTGTGGAGCACGGGCGAATTCGGTGTGCGTACTCGCACTAAACGGGGTGACAACTATGTGTTGTTGAGAGGTGTGAGGCCACGGACTACCTGCATGGGAGCAAGGAGGGGGATAATGAGGAAGAGAGAGCGAGAGTGTGGGTTGTTGGGGTGTATGATATTTCTCTTTTGTTCCTCTCGAAATTTTTGGACTCAGAACGGCGAGTTTCGTCATTCCCATTTTTGTAAGTACAGATGAATGTTTGATTGTATAAATTTTGCTCTTTCTTCGGAGTGCGTCTCACATTTCTTTCCTTATTTGAGTGATGTTGGATATTACGACCACGATTTTTTATCGCTTTGTTTTTATGATTTTGATCACTTGAGTCTATGTGCGCTCACTACCTGATTATGATTGAAAAACACATGGAGGTTTGTCTGAGATCGGTTTGTTGAAATAAAGGATGATAGTCGTTTTTCTTGCTTAGTGTCTGATTAAGGGAACTTATGCGAATTCATGCATGCGCTACGTCTCGCCGACAACCTAGCCCGTACTGTATCCACGCGCTTGCAAAATCCTTTCCCGGCGAGCCCGCAATTACCAATCTGCATGAGTAGGTCGGTAGGCCCTCGGCGAGTACTAGCCTGTAGCCTTGAAATTCGACGTCTTTTCTCAACCACCATCGCACACACTAACTACCGAGATCGCGCCGGGGCTAACAACCGGCGGCGTTGAAAACTCGGAACGCCCCTTCTCCCCCGGATCACTTGCATCCTTCAAGTTATCCTTGGAACATTGGCACCAGAGATTCCAGTTCCGACCTGGGACTTCACCCTTTTTTCCTAAAATCCTTGGTACCCCCCCTTTCTTGTTACTTCCAGACCCACTACCCACTTCGATCAGGAAGTCGCACTGAGCGTGAAATTGGGCGTCACAGCCCCGGAATCCGGCTCACACACCACCCTTCACCCCTTGCAGTGCTTTACCAACGGTAGCTGGCCTTTCTCGTCACCATTGAGAACCAAAAGGGATGGTTCACTCGACCACCCGACCAAATGGGATCTGCAGGAAGACCTCTTATGGGGCAGGTGTGGTGGCAACCTCTCTTCGGAAATGCCCAAGTGGTGGAGAAAGGGGGAACGTGTTCAACCTGCACACAAAACTCTTTGTGGGTAGCCTCGGTGTGGAAAGGCTGCTATAGAGTTGGAGATCTCTAGAATCCTGCAGCAGGTATGTGACGCCCAAACTTCACACCCAACACGACTTCCTGTTTCGGAGTGTGAGTGGGTCCGGAAGTGTGTAAGAGCGGTGTGCCAAGGATCTTAGGAAAGTGGGGGGTGGAGTCCTAGGTCGGAACTGAGATCTCCAGTGTTGAGTTTCAGGGACAGGAATGCAAGTGGCTCACCATGGGGCCAGGTTTTTCGTTCTACCCGTCTCAGGACCGACTGGTTAGTTTCATCGACCTCATCATCTGGGGCGAGCTCGTACTTGGTGTACATGAGGGACGCTATGGGTGTCTCTTCGCCCCAACACCTGTCGTCTGCGGCTTTCGTAAATCTATGAATATGACGTGGATGGTCTCAGTCGAAGGCTGTGCTCCTGGCGCTCAGCTTCGGAGCGGGTTCGCTTGACAAATCCCGCGGCTCGATAGGTGTAATACTGTTGGCACTCAAAGCACGGCCTTCGGGGCTAGTAGGAGCTATCGCATCCCAAGGAACAACCTTGAGATTATGATAAGGAAGGAAGAGACAGAAGGGAGGAAAGTTAGTTTCGATGGCAACGAATCCCGACTCTACGTAGTTACTGTATTGTTGGTGGCGTGTGTCGGGGTAGTCCGGAATTCGAGAATCTCGTCCCGTGGCCTTCTGGAGTTCCACACACAACCTATCGTTCTTGGTTTGACGGGATAGGTCGGGAGCCTTAATTTCGATCGGCGAAAGAAATGTTCGTTCTCCCAGTATCGGTAGTACTCAGGGTTCCTCAAACTGTCACCGTCGATGATCCAGAATGGAACGCCGACTTCCATATTTTGCCAGAAGGACTTAACTCGGTCATTTGCGTGTTCCAAGCACGATCGGGTCGGGGACATATCATGTAGACACGCGTATATGTGATGACTGCCGTTTTGGGGGTCATTCGTATACGTGCGTGCACATGATCTATTTCCCACAGAAGTCGAACCGATTTGCTACGCGTACATTTAATCCACTCCCGGTATTTTTGCGAAAAGACGATACCCGTAGACTCAATGCACATCAGACAACCGTTCGATGCACCATACATCAACTTACAGCAGACGAAAAAGAGGAGTAATATTACCACGCATTAGATGTCAAAGCGTGTGGATCATGCATGAGGAAGATCCAACCCATATATAGGCGCATGCGTAAAATTGGTCTTCGCACAGACTGTAGAACTGCCCTTTATGCATGCATCTATCCTTACCCGGGTTAATTCACGGAGACAACTTCTACAGGCTTAACGCAGGGATAGACAGTCGATCGATGCTACATACACAAAAACACGAGCGTACAAAGCCTAACAAAGGGGCCGGATTCCATACATCTTCCCATATATCAGCAGAACGCCTATTCCATACACATCATAATCCGATGGCTCGGTGATCGACAACCGTCCATGATTCCAAGTCATTCAAGCAATTAATCAATTTTGGTGATCGTCATACATTCTGAACGGAAAAGAAAGAAGTAGGGGAGGGAATGATAATTCATTCATCAATCTAGAGAAAAAAAAGTCCGAGGTTGCTGCAAACGAGGATGGTCGAAACCATAAATCAAAATTGTACGGAGGATGAAAAAAAATAACACCACTTCAACACTCTCTCTCTCTCTCTCTCTCTCGACGTTTCCACGATACGGGCAGTCCGTCGCCTTGCACCTACCAATAATCCGAAGTTGTCATCCCTCTTAGTCCAAGAATGCAAGCCAGGTTCGCCCGTGTGCCGCAGTCCTTCGTGACCACACGTCAACCTCGCATACCCTGCACCAGCTCGTCGGATCACCCAACTCCCTATAGTAACTCACCGATTTGTCTCTGGTCGTTAACCGATCCTCTCGACCGGGCCAACCCCCAAGTGTAGATTAGAGAGTGAATTAGTCGCGCTTGTAGGATTTATAGCATTCAATCATTGCAGGGAGGAGAGGAAAGAAGGGAGTGCCTACAATTGCATGACTGGGCCGTGGCGTGGGGGAATCGGTCACTCTCCATGCATCGATTCAGTCATGCATCTTCTTGACCAATGAAATAGACAGAAAGAGAGGTGCAGGTTTTAGCGCGGAAAGAGATCAAGAAGGAGAGAATTACAGTTACACTCGTGCTTGCCAAGAAGGAGAAGAGACAGTTGCGATTAAAATTTAGGCGCGGCGAGAGTAGAGCGCAGGACAGAATGCAGTACAGCGCGCGCAAGTAAGGAGCATCATGCAGCTACAACAGCAAAATTCCACGACAAATTACGATGCCCTTAATTCCTAACCCAATTTTAAAGTCATCATTCTCACTTTTTCCCCATACTTCAAAAATTCAAAAAGATATTGTCTTGCCCGATGATCGCGCCTAAGTCCCCATCCTACTTTTAGCTGAACAAGAAAGAATCTACGACAATAATTATTTTTTGCGCTCGCTAAGGCGCGCCTAATTACCAACTGCCATGGGATCAAGCTTTTCTAGAAGACGAGGGCATTTGTCCAATTGGGTCGGCCCCTCCTATTCAACCCCCCGAAATACAGCTGCGCAGAAAACCGCGTGTTTCAGGAAGTAGTTCGTCACATATGTGGCGCCCAGGGGGTTCCAATCTTATGCAAGTTGCTGCTTGCATACCCCATGTCCCTGCATATAAGGAAGGAGAAAGAAGAGACGGGAAGGGAAGGGGAGAAGAAAGGGAGAAGACGACAGAGATTAAGTCCCGCCCTTACCACTGCAGTCGTGATGATCATTATCCCTCCAGCGGCACGATAAT